AAGGCTGACTTTTGAACAATGTATATATATATATATATATATATATATATATATATATATATATATATATATATATATATATATATATATATATATATATATATATATATATATATATATATATATACATTAAAAAACATACATACATACATACATGATTTAGCGAGAACCCGCAAGGGTTTTTTTTATTATAAAAAGAAAATATATTTTTGGTTTCCTGAAAAAAAATTTGGGATTAATTTTATTATTTAAAAAAATTGCAATAGGTAGACAACATCAGTCATTGGTCGCTGAATGTTTATGTTCATCTAATATTGTGGATATTTTGCTGGAGAAAAGTTTCTGGCCTAGTTCTCCTGTAAATCCATCTGCAGCATTTAGCTATGAGTTGATGGATTTGATGGAAGCCTTGTTCCTAGATGGATATGTTTCTGTGAAATCATTCTGTAAAGCATTATATACTAAATCAAAAGGAGATGATTATATCAAGGTATAACATCATATTAGATAGCATGTATCCGAAAAAGTATATAAAAAAAAATGTTTTAAAGGTTGTTTTTTATGTAGATTGACGCGATATATAAAATGGTAACTGGTGAATGTTTTCTGAGCTATCTTTTGTTTAAAAATGATTTAAAAACCTTCAAGCCAAGATTTCAAAATTTTCACAATCTATCTATATGTCCTGCATGTCCTAAAGTAAGAAAATCATTAATATTGTGAATTTTCTATATAATGCAATATATTTTCAAAAACTTATATAACCTATGAAACATTTGCCTCTTTAAACTGTAAATTAAATTTTTAGCAATTTTGTATGAAAGCTGCCATTCTAAAGAATAAAATAAGCTATAAAATATTGAGTAATTATATATTATATTATAGGAGTCTGGTACATTAGTTTTATCCTTTGATGCATTGTTTGGATTGGTGAGAAAGTTTTCATCAGGGAAAAGTCATTACGAGCCAGTACTTAAAAATCTTTACCTGTTGGATCAATCTATTGTTGATCAATTTGTTAGTAACTACAACTGTAAACTCTCAGTAGAAGAATTAAAGGTTTTTGATATTCAAAATATGTTTTTTTGACTTTTGTTTTATTTACTATAATACTAAAATAATGAGCACCGGTTGCTTAATGATGACAAGTAAAATAGAATGTAAATATATAAATTGAATCTACTAAATATTTTAAACAATTGGCAATTTTTATTAGATTTTGAATTATTTTTTTTTACTTTTTAAAATTTAGACGTGTAATGATTTCAAGGCAATAAACTCATTACGATCTAAAAAATCAAATGCAAAACTTGACGAAACAGGTGTTTTTGGATGTTCTTGCAGACATGAAGTACCTAGACAATTTTTTAATCTCAAATCTGGTGAAAGGTTCTTGCTTTCTATATTTTTATTAGAAAAGTATAGAAAAATAATTTGTTTATTATAATTTTTTAATTTTTAGTTTGGCTAATGCGGTTTATTTAATAAACCAAATACTTGATCAAGTTAAAAAGGAGGTTAATGTTGTGGTAATGTATGATATTGCATGCATGCTTGTTAAACATCTTAAAGTAAGGATTTATAGTATGATTTGTAATTTTTTATAAAATCATTCATATCCTAAGTTAATAAAGATTTGCTATTATGAAAGTATAATTATATAAATTTTATGTTACAGTGTTGTTTATTCTAGAAACGAGGAAGTAATATCCTTGATAAGAATGTCTCCTTTTGTATTCCTTCTTTTCATGTATATGGTCATAGATCAGCTTGCCAGGTATTTTTTAAAATACTGATAACAAATTACTTAATTTCTTACAAACATTTTTCAGATCTATTTTTTTCTTTGATATTGAAAACATTTGTTTCAAATTGTTAATTAATAACTAATAGAAAATACATTAGGTGTTTTGGTAAATTTGCATACTCAAAGGTGCATTCTAGTTGTTTCTTTTTTTTTAGTTAAAATATTCCCCTAAATCAACTGTTGGTATAGGTATTTCAGATGGTGAAGTTATGGAGCGTCTTTGGTCTGCCCTTAGAAGATTTTCAAAAATCACTAAAGAGCAAACACCAAGTCATAGAGCTGATACTCTTACACTGGGTTTACTTCATTATGCACAATATTCGATTAATTCATTAAGTAATTTTAAAACTAAATATTGCTATAACATATTGCTTTCATTTTCAACATATGTATATTTGTATTATATTTTTAGGTAGAAGACTATGTGCTCGAATCGACAAAGCTGTACAAATTAAAGATACTACTGATATTGAACTTGAAAAAACACTTAAGTCTATTGGCGGTTTGTATAACTTTGATGTTTTAAATAAATTATTAATAATCTATTATATAAACAACAGTGTCACTCGGTCCCTGATTTCATAATGCTGTAAAGTCATAATAATGTTATAATGTCCCTTAATTCTCTATAGATATAAATTTATGTACTAATTTTGCATTCATTATTAATAAAATAAAATTATTTCATTAATAAAAATAAATTATTTTTGCATGCTTCAAATAATTAAAAATGAAAAAGGTTTCTGCTGAAACTTGAAGTTGTATATTTTTTATATACCCTGGAGGGTACTTAATTGATATACCTTGGAGGATGTTTAATATTTTTGAAATATTCTTTAGTTCTACAAAGAGAGGTTATTCAATCTTGGATTGCAACAGAAATTGATATGGAAGACTGTGGAAATCAAAAAAATGATAAAGGTTTAAATGTATTTTACTATGAATTTTTAATTTAATAATGTTAGATTTAATCAAAACTAAAATTATACTCTAATTTTTATAAATTTTAATAAATACTTGTATTATTTGCAGAAAGCGATCTTGAATGCTATGTTTTAATTTTGAATGATTGGTGGAAGTTAAGGTAAATTGTTTGATAGAGCAGAAGTATTTTTTAGTTAATAGTCTCAAGACTTAAAGGATTTTTTTAAAAGTAAAAGTTTAAAATAAGAGCATAGATACAACTTTTAACAACTTGATTTGTAAAACTTTTATAAATCAGGGATTACCTTTTTTTGGATATTCCCGGAACTCCGGATATATTTCTGAACTTTTAGGTTTTCCGGACATCCAAAATGTTGCATACAAGTTTAAGTATATATTTGTGTATTTAATTTGATTTTTAAGCTTTTTTATTCGTCACTCATAAGAAAATTAAGAAAAATTTCCAAAAAATTGAGAAACAACTTTAAGCAAAATTTTTTTTAATAAGCTTTAAGCAAAATTAAGACGAAAATAATGGGAAAACTAGTTTTAAACGTGATGTGTACTAGAGATTACTATCTACAGGTATTGTATAATGATAGTATAGCTTAATGAAACATGAATATTCTTTTTTAATATTTAACCTGTTTATCTATTTATTTGTTTAATTGATATTGTTATATATAATTAATATTAGATTAAAAGAAGAAAAATTACATAACTGCATTTGGTATTTTTTTATTTTTTATTTATTAGAAAAGATATTGAAACTACGACAAGCAATCCAGATATAAACATAGAACTAGAACGGTAATATTTTTTCAAAAACAATATTCTGAAGCAATGGTTATATTTATCTTTTTTAAACAACATTTGTGTGTTATATCAGGCTTGAAAGAGAACTCAGTATTAAAGAGAAGAAATTAAAAATAAATGTTCGGTGGGATCCAATCAATGCTTTTTTTAAGGACACCTTAGCAACTGTCTTTGAAAGAAAAAAGAATAATATTATGCTAAAAATGCAATCTTTTGCATTTCAAAAGTTATTTCTTGGTAATTTGAAAAAAAAATACGCAGGTAAAAAGTTAATTTAAAATTACTTGAAATGTTTAATGAAAGCCTATAATTTTCAAATTGAAAACATTTATTTATGATTTTCTTTGTTTAGACGGCCAGAAAATTGCTATAAAGCTTACTAAGCAGCTGAATAAAAATAATAAGAGTTTGCAAGATCTGATCAAGGAGTATAATTCTATAGTTTTAATTTATCCCAGCAAGTTTTTAAAAAATGTAGTTGTTTGGGACGAGGTTGGTGATTTGGAGAGTGTTTTTTGGAAAAATTATTGGACACAAAAAAGTTCCGATTTCGCCATCCCCGTAACAGTTAAACGAAAGTGTATTGAGTTGTTCCAATTGAACTGTAGAGCTATCGAAGAAATCGAAATGGTTAAAAGCGAAATGAAAAACGTAATAAATTTTAACCAAACTAAAATAAATGAATTTAAGGAAGCTCTCACATTACTTGAAGATAATACTGAAGATAATGGGTGGAAAGCAAGATTACTGAATGAAATAGATGCTTTAACTTTTAAAACAAATTGTTTTTCTGAGGCTTTTTGTCCTTATCTTAATTCGGATACTTCAAGTGAAATAAAGACTCTGTTGTTAAACGACTTTGAAGATGAATTAAGTAGTGAATCGGATGATAGTGATTTAGAATTTGAATAAATGTTTACCATTATAATAAAACATACTTTATTTATTTTATATTATGTCGGATGAATGCATAACACCGCGGGAGCCAAGCGGTGATGACCTGCACAGTTTTATAGCAATAAATTAATTTTTTTTTTTTTGTTTAAATCTATTTCTGTATTAATAACAACATTTTCATTTTATTAATTATCACCCTGCAAATTAATATGTTCCGGGATCCCTGCAATACTGCTTTTTTATTAGTTAATCGTTTCTTCTAAAAAATTCATATTTTTAGGCCTCGGCAAACAAATTCTGAGGGACTCACAAAATTACTATTTACCTCGGCAACATTTTAAAATTGAATTAAAGTTTTGCGTTGTTTCTCTTAAATGAACGTCAATGAAAAATGTTTATTATTACACAATATTATATTTGGCTTTAAAATGAGTTATTTAATAAATTTACCGCGTACATTGTTTTAGCCCAAACAATTTATTTTGATATCGATCTAATTCGTCCTTTTGGGTTTTCTTTTCTTTTTAAAACTATTTTGTTGATGCAAAAAAGTTGTTGATGCAAGTTTCCATTATTCATAGACATGCGAAGCAATGCGTCAAGCAAAATTTGTAATAATTTTTTTTAAGAAATTGTTTTGTATTAAATTTCCAAACACAATCAAACAAAGTTCATAATGATTATTTTTGTGTTCAAAAATTGTTTCTCACCCAATTTGCTAACGTAATCTATAAGTAGTTATTCTTTTTTTGTATGCCTGACATGTATTGTATTGACTATTGGAGCTAAAATTAAAAATGAAGCTTTTAACTTTATGTTAAATTATTGTGAACATATACTAGTACCTTAATAATTTAAATACCTTTCAAAAATTCAGCAAATTTAAACTGAAAGTTTAATTCTTCAGAATTTAGTAAAAATTGGCACCCTCTTTCGGTTGCAGTTACAACAGGAGCACCACCATGAGCAAGACAAGTAACCGCAACAACATCATTGCCCATATTTGCTAACTCTTCCACCTAAATAAAAAATATATAAACAAGTTATATAAAGGGTGCGAAACTTTTAGAAACTATTATTTATAATAATTTATGGTAATTAATTATAATTAAAATAAACATACAACTTTTTTCAACTGTTTTAACAACTTTTTAGATTTAATTTCTTTTTCTTCTTTAGTGAGAGGAAGTAATTTGTTTCTTTGTAATAAAGCTTTCTTGTTCCAGCTTTCTTTTTCATTGTTTGTTAACAACGACCAGTTATGACCAAGATTTTTGAAACAAAAATTTCTGTTATCAAAATCTGAATCTAGTTTAATAAACAATTATTGATAGAGTATATATTAATATAGGTAAAAACAATTGTAAAAACAATTATCAAAAAGTATACAATACATTCGTTACAAAAAATATTATTTTAAATAAAATAAACATTAAATTTTTTAAATTTAAAACAAGTTGAATATGTATAACAATGAAGTATAAAAACTAAATTTCCAAGATAATAACAAAAAAATAATTAAAAGACTTTTTAAAAAAACAAACTCACAAGCTATCCAATATCAAAAAGAAAAGTTGGTTTAAACAAATAAGTTTGACAAAAAAGAAGAGAAAGTTGATGAAGAATCCATATTGAGTAAACAAAAAGAATATAAAGATAATTATTATAATAATAGTAAAGATTAAATTTACTGCAAAAAATACCTTCCAATGACAATAACTGGTTTTGTTTCCATAAATCGTACCCCCTTAGCACCTGAGTATTTATAGACACTTTTTTTCTTTTTTGTTTAACACTAAAATCCACATCTGATTTTCGGCTTTTTGCTTTGTGCCTAGCAATCCAGCTCTAAAAAAATGTAATATGAGCTTAGATGATTAAAATCTATATTTATGGTTTAACTATTAATATTTTATTATAAATTTCATACTTGTCAAATTGTATATAAAATAAATAACTAGAAAAAATTAATTCCTGTAATTCTCATCATTTTAAAATCATTGTTTTTCGTTCATTGTTCACTATGTATGCTATACACAATTAGCAACACCTTTACATTCTACGTACTCAAACCACCTTAATCTTTTTTTGCTCATTCTAGACTTTACAAAGCATAAATTTTTTATAATTTAAGCTTTTCTTAATTTTTTTTGCTTCAATTACATTTTCATAACTTGGGAAAATAGAATTAAAAAATGAAATTGGAAAAATAGAAGTTGGGAAAAAGGTAGTTGGAAGAATGGAATTGAAGCAAAAAAAAAGTAAAGAAAAAATGAGGTAATAAAAAACTTACGTTTGTAAAGTCTAGAATGAGCAAACAAAAACAGCTTGTATTAATTGTTTAAAAAAGTAAAGCACTGTAAACACTGAACCCTGATGCACATCAAACTTTACTTTAAGGCTAGCACTCTTTGATTGCTCTTGCAGTATGCTCTTGCCTTCATATTTTAACATAAACTTTACCATTACTTGTATGTATTATAAATAAAATATAAATAGTTAATTTTAGAAATTAGTTTTAGAACGTAGACAAACAACTGTCAGTTTTAATGTTTTGTTGTTAAAAACACTAAAAACAAATAATGATTAAAATTGCATATAATATGAAATTGTAATTATAATTTTAAATAATAAATACATAAAAAAATTAATACTTTAACTGTCTTTATGGATAAATGAGTTTCACCAGCTACTTCTGTAATTAAAGATAAGCAGCGCTTACCACACCCATTCATACCTTCATTAAACTTTTTTACAAGAATGTGCTCCACAGATGCAATTTTTATATTTTCCATTTAATATCAAAAGTTGTGATAAAACAATAATATATAATTTTAAATGGTGTTTAATGAGTAAAAAATAAAATAAGTTTTTTTTTTTTGAAATGAATATTATTTTTGAAACTTTCGGTCGGTGTTTTAAGAACCACCCTAATATATATATATATATATATATATATATATATATATATATATATATATATATATATATATATATATATATATATATATATATATATACATACATGCATATATATATATATATATATATACATATATATATATATATATATATATATATATATATATATATATATATATATATATATATATATATATAATATATATATATATATATATATATATATATATATATATATATATATATATATATATTCCACTGATATAGCAACCTAAAAATTTTTTAAATTATAGGTTGCTAACTTTACCAGGAATAAAATATATTTTTATATCTGATAAATACAAGTTTAAAGTTTAGATTAAAAAGATTAAAATAATGATTTATTTTTATTTTGCTATCTTCAAAACAATAGTTTTAACTAATACTACGCAATAACTACGGTATTAAAAGGGAACTTTTTATTACCACGGCATTAAATATTGGCTTTTTTTTATATATAAATATATAATTATTATTTAGCAAGCATATATATTACAGTGTCCTAGAAAAAACTAACCTTTGATGAATGGCTCCCACCATCCTCCCTACCTGATACCAACAAAATCTTTTTTTTTCCGGAATGATAAATACTAATTATCAATCATCTGAAATGATAAAAAGGGCACAAAGTAAAAGTATAAGTATATGAATCGGACAGGACATCCACTGCAACATATAGCAATAGTTTGTTTACTTATGGCCACTTTTTGTACAATCGGTATTGGCAACAGCTTTTTTAATCAGTTTACCAATTTACCAACCGATGAAATGGCAATATTTTTACCCTGTATTTTGATAACAATTAAATGTAAAATTAACTAAATTTTATATATCTCTTAGGAGTTTTTTGGGTAAACATTATCTTCATTGTCATATTAGTTTCAGTGTATCTGTGCTTGCTTGGTTGGAGGTTTCTCATAATGCTATTTATTCAAATATCTATTATCTTATATATCTTTTTTCTGAGGTTTTTCCATGTAATCTATAACATACTCTTAAAAAAAAAACATAATATCTGCAAGTTTTTCTAATTCTATTTTTTTTGACTAAACTGCTAACTCTACATGCTGATACCCAATTATTTGCATTACAATCATCTACATGTGTATAATAACAAAGTTCGCGACTCAACTTTATTCTCTTCATAACTAACATTAAAAAACGTAAACGCAATGCCTATAATAAAAGTCCTTTACAGTCATTAGCATGATGATTGTAATTATCTTCAATGCGTGATTGTATAATACGTAATCAAATATGGTGTTTTATACAACATGCTTAAACCAGCTTCATCTACTCTGACACATCTTAATATATATCATTAATATTTATTAACACTTTCTTTTCAGTCATCTTTTATATCCAACTAATCATCTTCTTCGCTGTTCTTTCAAGACAATCAACCTTTATTGCCTATGTTATGCCTTATATTATGAGTTAAAGCAATGTTTTACAATTAGATGCCCTTTCTGATGTTAACAGAAAGCAGGTTGTACTGGATTTCATGTTACCAGTATCAGGATAACCTAACTTGACGTTTAAAGGATAACCTGACCTGACTTTTTACTTCATATTGATGACAAAGGCCATATACACGATCAAGAGCTGTTATACAATGGCAATAAAAACATTCAGCGTTTAAATAGATTTTTAGCTGAGGTCTTCATTCAAGCATGGTTTTCATGCAAAACTACTCTGGATGCACCCAACAACGACATACAGTTGATCAAAAGACTAAAAAAACTATTATGAAGCAGTATAAGTATGATTGGTTTAAAACAATGGCTCTGCATTACTGGTAACTCAGTCAGGAAACGGCTAATGTTTAAATTTTTCATCACTTCTATCAAACAGAGAAAACAATAACAGCATTTTTACAAGTTATTGAGCAACACAGCAAAAAATTAGAAGCTTAAAAGCGAAGAACTGATGTTCATTTAAAAAAGAAATTAATTAAAACTTGCACTAGACTTGAGTGTCTTAAGTGCATTTTTTTTACACAGTCGGCAGTAATTATTAAATTAAAAGCAAAAAGTATTTTTACTTTTTATTAATTTCTTCGCAGAGAGGTCAATTTTCAGAGTCTCTGAGGGAGCCTAAAAATATTTCTTGTATTTATTTATAAATTATTTGAGTATATTTTACAAATAGAGTGTTCAATATTTTTTAAGAACAAAGCAGTAATAAATGAGTAAGAAAAATATTTTAGAATCAGTTTCATCGTTATACCTTTTAATCAAGTTCGCCTGAATATTAAATACACATTACCTTGTTTAAATTGATAATAAAGCATTATATATTAGACATAAGTCTAAATAAAGTTAAAATAAATCAAATTTAAGAAAATGTTATATTTTTTTATATTACCATAATATATTATAATTAAAATAGTACATTATATTGCCGCAAAATATTGACCGCCATTATTTGTATTATTTTTTGGCATGAACTTATATTATGAACACATAATTCGATGACATCGAAAAATAATATCACATGTGTGGCGGTGTGGCAAATACACGGCTGATGAGATCGGAAAACACAGAGATATTTTATTTCGATGAGATCGACAAATTTTACTTAGGATCGGGTGGATAAACAATATGAGAGAAGAGACGCTTAAACATTTGGAAAATTTTTGCCATGCCCCAATGATTTAGTCTCTCGAATTTCAAATTCAACATTTTCAAACTGGTTTCTATGCAATTAATTGGATTACACAAATTAAATGTTGTTTTTTTATTTAAAAAAATAAATCTAAATCTCTAGATTACAGACCCCTTTAAGTTTTTGATGTATATAAAAAGTATATGCAATCATATTTACAATGTAAATTTTAGATCAGAACGCTTGGTAATTATTAATCACAAGCATAGTAAACAATTTTTTTTTTGAAAAACGTAACCAATGACGTATAAATAAAACTAGATGCACCACTTTCTGTGTTTCTCAAATAAATAAGTAAATCCAATGTCCGTCATATAGCGGCACAGCAAAAACATAAAACTTTAAATTTTTAAAATCATAATTTTTTTTTAAGCAAACAAATTTCTTACCCTAATTGTATAAAATTTCTTTTTTTAAACTGTTAGCTTATGATCAATAAAGTAATTTTCAATCCATGAAATTTTACTTAATTGAAACCATATTTATATCATTATAAAAATAGATCAATAATAATATGACATAAAAATTTATGCACATAATAACATAATACACTTCAACTTTCTTTATAATAAAGTACAAATATATATTTAACTAATTTATATAAAATATTCTCAATAAAAACATCAGAGCGTTACTCCATACACAAATAGAATAAAATTGAATTAATCAATTGATTTATAAACTCTGATCATTGTTAAAATGTTATTTAATTATATTATAATAATTGTTTTAAACAATTTAAACTTAAAGGTTCTACGAGACACTCTATTCGAATTAACCAACTATGTCCTACAACCAGGGCCGCCGAGAGCCTTAAAGACTCCCGGACAAAATCCATGAATGGCGCCCATATCTTTCAAAATTTATCTATGTTATCAATGAAAGTCTCTTTTTTTTATTTAGGAACCTTTTTTTTTGGCGCCCATCGGGCATCTGCCGCCCGAAACAAACTATCCCTTTTGCTCCCCTTCCTCCTCTTGACTGCCCTGATTACAACTGTGTTCATATAATACAACCAAACAAGTCTACTTTAAAAAAATTTCAAGTTTAAAGTAATTTTATGATGTTCTAGTACTAAACTACATTAATTTGAAAATTCAAAGCATAATAACAATTTAAATACAACGCATCTTTGAAAAAAACTGTTTTTCAAACACAAAATTTAATTTTTTCAAAATGATAAAAGACTGACGTCTGTGGTTTTACCAGTGTGGTCTTTATATCTATACAGGTATATCATATACAGGTACATAATATGCATATATGTATATATTCTTGAGAAGGGAAATATGTTTGAATATTATATTAGTCATTAATCAGGACTACAAAACATAATGTTATATTTTGTAGTCCTGATTTTTGAAATTTGGACATGTTAAACATCTACAAGTTTCAAAAAATTTTATATAATATACAATTTATATTTTTGAAGTATAATTTCATATTTCAAAGACTTTTCCAGATTTTTTTCAGAAAAAGATTAGGCAGAGTAAAATTAAACTGAGCTATAATCTTTTAATTAGAAAAAATTAAATAAAATATGAAAATTATATAATATAAATAAAATGAAGTATGAAATTATACTCCAAATTTCTTTGTTAATTTTGATTACATTGAATGTAATCAGGGTTCATTGACTAATTAATGCTGACAACATGGAATGTAATCAAATCCTGTCTGAATCTTATAATCGATTTCAAATCTTGCCAGAATCTGGAATGATTTGAACCTGCATTATCAAAAAGAACTTTGTGGTGTCATACAATATTTGTTATTTCCCCTATTTGGAACCGGTAATCAATTATAACTGGGTGAAGTACAAAAAGTATGCGTATAATTTTTTTTTCAACCTTAGCTATAATAAAAATAATAAATCAATTCTTACTGACATTTTAATGTAATGCATCAAAAAACTATAACTATACATAATCATTCTAAATATCAATAACTAAAGTGATTGCTTCAATGCGTTTTTTTCATAACGGATTTTATTAATTATTTTATGCAATCCGTATTTGTTTAGCAACTCTTTACCATGAGTGGTACGCATTAACTTTTCGTTAACCGAATTTTCAGAAGTAGAAATGTCTCGCATAATCTCTTTTTTAAAAATTACCATTAAAAAACGTTTGTCTTGTGCATCAATTTTTTCACCTCGATTCTTTTTCTCAGAAGTATTTGCAGACTTTGTTATCGACAAAAGTTTGTCGTAGATGGCCTTTGGGCTTTTTCTTTTTAGAATTAAATTATCTTTAATTTTTTCCCGAATTTAGGGAATGTAACATCCTTGAAAATCATGATGTTGAAATAAACGTTTAACTTCTAAAATTTCATCACCATTCCATCCACGTTTCGAGGTACTTTCATCACTGATGCACTCTGTTGGCAACTTTATATTATCTGAAAGATTTTCAGATGTAAAATTATTTGAAAAGTTTTCAGAATTTATAATGCTGGTTTTTAAAAGTTTATTTTCAATTTGATTTGTAAGCTCAGCAGCATTAGTCATTGTTTTGTATAAATTATAATTGCGAGAAGCTGTTTCTCTTTTATGTTTCATATGGTTCGCCAGCCTATCCTTAATACTATCATTTATTTCTTCTGAAGCATAGAAAGTGGTTGTGATACTTTTTCTAATTAAGGTTGCTGAAACTAGACATTGTCTATTTGATTTTGTGGCTTTTTTCCAAAAAGAATCAAGTTGTGTTGAAAATCCATTTAGTGACTTGAAAGACCATGTAACAAATAAACAGCTGCCTGGATCTAATGGATCTTTTTCATTCATTCGGGCAACTTTATCCCTAAAGACATCTACATAACACCTCATTTGAGTATTCATATCAGGTGTAAGGACGACTTGTGCTGAACCGTATTTTCGCTTAGTTTTATGAACTTTTACGTTTACTATAATGTTATTAGTTGTTTTATCAACTTTTGCAGCTTGAAATTCTGAAAGAAGCATATTTATGCAATTCCCAGCACGAGCAGAGTTTCTCAAACAGCATAGACTCGCTAAATAATCTCTAACTGTAACAAAATTTTCTTTGCTAAAATCACTTTCTTCAAATAATATCGAATTGTTCAGTAGTTTTCGTGCTTGCTGAGAGAGCTCAGAATTGTAAACTTTTTGAAATTCATCCGGGTCAATCATATTAGCAAGGTCTTTTTCTAAAACATCCCACTCTCGCTCATCCACTTCATCGCAATAGCTTGCACTCCAGTTCTTAATATCTTTCAATAGCCCTTTCATCACATCAAGATTAATAGTGCAAGGGACGAACATCTTTTTTGCCCAAGAAACTGTTTTCTGCCGAATTAAAAATTCTATAAACTTACTCAGTGATCCAAGGTAGGATCTTAATGTTCCTGGTAGGTGACCTTTACCATTTTTACCTTTTCCAGGAGCCAAAGCCCAGGGAAGCCACTTCTCCCTAAGTGTTTGAAGATTAAACAAAGGATCAAGTGATGTTAGAGTAGGACTAATACAATTTAGAATACATTTAACTTGATTTTTACATTGGCGAGCAGGTTTTTCCTTTTTTTTACCACCTTCAAAACCTAATAAATGGATTTCGAAATTATTTAAAACAGCATTAATAGATTCTTCATTGATATCATCAGGTAAATATTCATCATTAGACTCATCGGTTTCATCTAACTCAGCTATATAATCTGAGTCAGTGTCAGTAGAAGAATCAATTTGGGAAATAAACTTTTTATATTTATCAGAAGCAATTTTTGCAGAACCGTTTTCTGAATCGTATGAATCATCAGAAGGCAATGGATTGTTTGAGGGGAAAATTGACATTATTTGTTCTTTATCATTTTCTGAAATAACTATTGCTTTTTTTTTCATTTCATCATACAGCTCAGCATTATTGTAAATACTTGGGTGAGATTTTCGAAAGTGGTCAGATAAGTTTAATATTGTTGATAGGCATCCATCAACTGGGCACGATTTAGTAACACTTTTGCGAGGTCTGATTACATCACAACTTTTTGCGCAACTTTTTCTAAGTCCGAAGAGGGAAACTACTTTTGACGCAGATCTTTTTAATATAATGTGGTCCATTTTTTTAGATTCTTTTATATGTCTCGATAAATTGATAATAACTGACTTACATCCAGGTACAGGGCACGCCTTTTTACCTCGTTTTACTATTGGTTCTTTTGTTCTTTTGATGTTTTTAGGAGAAACTCTTTTACCAGAGAGTAGAAAATCAGATTCATTCAGATATTTTTTCTAAATGTTAAAGAAATATACCAGAATAAAAAATATAATCACCAATTTAAAATATTGTGGAACAATATTTACTTTTTCAACTTGATGCATATCCATTTCCAAATTAACTTTCTTTTCTTTACCAGAGAATGTAAAATCAGATTCATTTAGATATTTTTTCTAAATGTTAAAGAAATATACCAGAATAAAAAATATAATTACCAATTTAAAATATTGTGTAAAAATATTTACTTTTTTAACTTGATTCATATCCATTTCCAAATTAACTTTCTTTTCTTTACCAGAGAGTGTAAAATCAGATTCATTTAGATATTTTTTCTAAATGTTAAAGAAATATACCAGAATAAAAAATATAATCACCAATTTAAAATATTGTGGAACAATATTTACTTTTTCAACTTGATGCATATCCATTTCCAAATTAACTTTCTTTTCTTTACCAGAGAATGTAAAATCAGATTCATTTAGATATTTTTTCTAAATGTTAAAGAAATATACCAGAATAAAAAAAATAATTACCAATTTAAAATATTGTAGAAAAATATTTACTTTTTTAACTTGATGCATATCCATTTCCAAATTAACTTTCTTTTCTTCACCAGAGAGTGTAAAAACAGATTCATTTAGATATTTTTTCTAAATGTTAAAAAACATAAATTTTTATTTTTAATGAATGAGACAAAAGTTAATGTGATTGAAAAAACTCAAAAATAAAATTAATAAAAACTTACACTACAAGATGATGTAGGACATTGAGGATTTTGGATGTTAAAATCAACGTCATTTCCATCTATATAATTACAAACCTAAAAAAAACTTATTTAAAAAAAATTGAAAAAATTATCTAATATAAAAATAAATAAAAAACTATTTAATGAAATTAAAAATTAAAAATTTGCATGTCTGGTCACTGATTACTATATATAAAAATAATTTGTGTTCTAAACTCACCTTTTCAATTAAATAACTCAACAAATTTTTCACCAAGAAGGTCTAAAAAACCAAAAGTGAACAACAAAATTTCTAAAAAATCTAAATTTGAATAATAAAATACAAAACAATGCTTTGCCAACACAAAAAAAGCAAAAAAGTTAAATTTTATCCATTCAAAATTGAGAGTGAAAATTTTTTTCCATTCAAAGTTGATTAATAAACATTTAAAATATTACTTCTGAATCTTCTATACATAAATCAATGTGAATGTTTTTAGGTAATTCATTCTTAAAAAATAAAAAGAGTTTATTTAAAATAAAAAGAACTTCTAAATTAACAAATAACTTAACAAAAAGTAAAATAAATAAAATATATATAACCATATATATCAATTTCAAAATAATAAAATATTGTCAATGAAAATATAATTTTATTAAAATGAGTTTTAGTTTTGATAGTCAAAGTTTTAAAATTTTAAACATCAAACAATTACACTGTTAAATGTTAAATGTAATGCTTAAAAAATATTTCTAAATAAATAAACAAACCTCTTTTTTATCTTCAATAGTATTGGTATCTAAAAAAGGATTTTAAAAATGTAAATGCTGTCCATAAATAGGGGTCATATACATACACAAGGGTGGCTAGTTATATGCAAAATCAACATTATTATTGATATATATATATATATATATATATATATATATATATATATATATATATATATATATATATATATATATATATATATACATATATTATGAGAAAGGGAATTTAATTTGTATAATATTAAAAAAGTTTAAGGGTAAATTTAGCTTTTATACCAGTACTATAATGTACCCATTTGGATAAACGATTTTTTTCTAAAAACCAAAAAATAATTTACTATTTACAAACTACTAAATTTTTAATTTAAAACAAAAAAATTGAAAAAAACATACTAATTTTTTCCTCCTTTTTTAATTTATTCAATAAAATATTCTCATTTCTGGAAACTAGATTGAAAAACAAAATTTAACAATATAAGTAATTCCATTATTAATCTTTTACAATTTTAATATTTATGTTAATGTAAAATGCTTAAAAAATAGTGATAACAATTAATACAGTAGAATCCTGTTAAGTGGAACTCTCAAGGGGAACATATAAATAGTCTGACTTAGCGATTGTCCGAGATAAGCGAAGCTATCAGTATGTATAAAAAGTTCAAGGTGAATTGAAAACCTTCCTGACTTTGTAAAAGTCTGACTTATCCAGGGTCCGAGTAAATGGTATTCTACTGTATAAGGAATCCTTAAAAAAATACTAACCATTATCATTTATGATTGCCATTATATATTCATAACTTAAGAATTAAAACAATTTTTTTTTTCTACATTTACCTTTTATGGTTAATTTACCTTTTATGGTTACAAACCAGAATAAAAACGTTCCTTAATAGAACCTTTTTATAGTTAACTGAAAACAAAGTTTTAAAACATTAAATGTGTTATACCACAATTTACATCACTTTTACAACTGTCTGAATTTTGACTTTCATTTTCATGGTATCTAAATTATAATTAAATATTTTTGAAAAAATAAAAGCACTAATTAGTCTTGTAAAGTTTAAAATAAATTAGATCAACAATAACCATGACTGGCTTGATCAATAATTTCAACTTAATTATATATAAAAGAATTAAAACTTATTTATTTAAGTTTTAATAGATTATATTTAAAATAACTTTGACTTTTACCTTTCTGAAATATATGAATTCAATACAACTTCAGCCTATTATAAAAAAAAAATATTAAATAGTTTTCTAAAAACATTTTAAAAATATATATAAATATAAAACATATCAAGTACTTTAATCCTTGAAATCTTCTCCACTTTGGCGAAGAGATATAGTATTGCCTCTGGAACAAGGACTTTCAACACGTAATCATTATGCTGCAATTACATTATTTTATTGTGTATTAATAGATACATATATATATTTATAAATAAATATATATATACAGGCCTTGGCGGGAACAAATGAGCACGAGAGCGGAGAAAAGCTTTTCTAAAACAAACTTCTTGACAAGAAGCGAGAGCTAAAGCTCTTGCTTCTTGTCAAGACCTGTATATATATATATATATATATATATATATATATATATATATATATATATATATATATATATATATATATATATAATATTACCCGCAGTACCTTGAAGTAAATTAAGTAAAACAGTAGTAAAAGGAAAGTTTCAATAATATAATATAATAAAAATAACAATAATAAAATCATTCTGAACTAAAAAACAAAAAATATTCTAATCTATAAAATTGAAGTTTTTTTAAAAACGATAAAATTCAATTTTTTTTCTGCAATTACTGGATGGTTTTAGCTATCGTCCAAACTTAAATAACAACCTAAATTTCAATATGTTGTTGTAAGAACCATTAAGATTATTTTGTTGGTGTATGACGCTTTCTATAGAACAATTAACTTATCTATCTATCTATATAGATAGATTTATATATATATATATATATATATATATATATATATATATATATATATATATATATATATATATATATATATATATATATATATATATATATATGTATATATATATATAAATATATATATAATTATATATATATATATATATATATATATATATATATATATATATATATATATATATATATATATATATATATATATATATATATATATATATAATACAGGCCTCGGCGGGAAGCGAGAGCTTTAGCTCTCGCTCTTGCCCACACTTCCGTAAAACAGTTTACAGGAGCATTTTACGGCTCTCGCAAAAGTATAATTTTTCTCATGAAGGTATAATTAAAATTACAAAAGAGTGCTAATTTAAATGAGGAGCAGCTCGCACAGCTCCCCAAATTCGTTTTAGGATAGCTTGTTCCCGCCGAGGCCTGTATATATATATATGTGTATATATATATATATATATATATATATATATATATATATATATATATATATATATATATATATATATATATATATATATATATATATATATATATATATATATATATGTATATATATATATATATAAATATATATATATATATATATATACATATATATATATATATATACATATATATATATATACATATATATATATATATATATATATATAATTATTCACCTCCCTAAGGCCAGAGTGGGCCACTAGAGTTGAGAAGGCTACTTATTTTTTTGTATTTTTTTGTTGTAAATCGTGGTACAACCTTCTCTTAACTCTTTAACTCCTAAACAAAAACCTTGACAAGCAAGGTTGCAGTGCGGAGAAACTAATATATATATATATATATATATATATATATATATATATATATATATATATATATATATATATATATATATATAATATATATATATATATATATATATATATATATATATATATACATATATATATATATATATATATATATATATATATATATATATATATATATATATATATATATACATATATATATATATATATATAGATATATATATATATATATAAGGAAAACGATTAAAACAACTACTTACTTTTAAATTATTATATGATCTAACTAATGCGTTATAAAGAGTATGCACTTGATCATCTGATAGCAAATCAACCAACCAAATGTCACACAAACTTTCTGAAAAACATGTTTATATTTGTTTATATACATGTTTATAAGTCTTTAAATGTCAAATTAAATGCAAATCTTTTAAATAAACTTCAATTACCAAAGGTATAATTTATAATTAAAAATATCTAAACAAAAATTTTAAACCTTTAAAATTTTTAATGTCGAAGATAAAAGGAAAAAAAGAATTATCAATAAAAATTTGTGTTATCTAATAAAAAGCTTTTATAATAAATTATTGTACTTTTTGCATCTCCACCAGTTTTGAAGATATTATGTCTGTAACTGTACAGCTAAATATAATATTTAAAAAAAGTAAACAGAGCGATTCGATAGAAACATAAATTTTGCAAATCTCAAACATTTATATCAATTAAAAGCACTCAAACTTGAAAAGAAAAAAAAAAAAAAACTAACTTGACCCAAAAATATTGATTTTAACAACTGGGACGATGCTATTTCCTTAAGATTATCAGTAGAAAATTTTTGAAAAGCTAAAAATAAAAAGGTAAAGAAACAGATAAAATCTTATTCTTAAATTTCCTAATTTTGCAGAGATTCCTATTTAGTAATATTTTTAATTAACAATAAATTGACAATAAACAATATAAAATATGAAATTTAAGTTTAAACCTCTTCCAAAATACTCGTCGTTTGGAACTATGCCACCTGAACAATCTAATTATAATAGTATTTAATATAGTATATTTATAATTATATAATTACAAACTATATTCACAAAATACTCCATTAAATTATGTTAAAAAATTTCCAATCAATAATTTTCAATTACCAAGAGTTTAGTTTGTAACTTTGTAAAATTTCTGTTAAAAATATTTTAAACCTCTTTTGTTGCAAAATCTTACTTTAATTAGAAATGGTAGATTGGTAAAATGAAAACAAGAATAAAAACAAATTTTTGTGGTTTTACAACAAATTATTGTAATAATAATAATATTTAAAAAAAATAATATTACTTGCACAGTCTTTACAAATGCAATGATCTCCAATTGTTCCCCCAGACTTCAAGCCCTTTCTATTACATAAGACACAACATATATCATCCAACACACCGTCTGACATCTATATTTTTACTTTAAAAAAAATGATATGTAAAATTAATTTCAAATTGTTCCTCAATCAGACAGAAAGCCCTTTATATTGCACAGGACATATTCTAACATCTATTTTTTATATAAAAAAAATATAACATTGCTATAAATTTTATAGAAGAAAGGCTTGCTGTCTTATGACATAAGACAGTAAGCCCCTTGCTAAGACTTACTGTCTTATGTCATAATACAGCAAGTCTTTAATTTAATTTACAACAATTTTATAATAACTCATAACATAATTCATATTCATTCATAAAATAATTCAATTCATAACAATTTTATTTACAATTATTAACAATTCAATTAAAAAGTAACAACCAATTTAATTTGTATGACTACAATTTGAGATTTATTTTATTATAAAACAAATTTTAAATAGTTGCCACATAAGACAGCAAGCCTTTCTATTTCACAGGATATAGTCTGATATCTATATTTCTATTACACAAGACACAGTCTAACAATTAAATTTCTTATGCACAAGACACAGTGTAATATCCACAAACAATCAAAATATTTAATATTTAAACCACAAACAATGGCTGCGTGAAATTCTTTACTTCAAAATTAAACGGCTTACGGCAAATTTTAAGATAGAAATGCTACATGTAGCAATTCTATTTTTATGTAACAATTCTATGCCAATGTGTAACAATTCTACGCCAAAAATGTAGCAAATCTATGGAGCGTAACAATTCTATGCCAAAACGTAACAAACCTACGCCAAAATGTAGCGAATCTATCAATATCATCATCATCTGTCTGATCATCATCATCATCATCATCATCATCATCATCATCATCATCATCATCATCATCATCATCATCATCATCATCATCATCATCATCATCATCATCATCATCATCAGTATATGGTTCTCTGTTCGTTATTGCAACAAGGTCATCGGCTCACAGGATTTTAGATTATTGCCGTGCCGCTCAGTATTTTTTAAATTTTTTTTCAGTATTACCAATAAGAAAGATCTAAACTTTTTAGATATGTTATTTTTGAAAAAAAATTTTGAGCAAAAACTTTAAATATAAGAGCCGTTATAAAAAATGCGTTGCATTACCGAATGCATCGAAAAAGAGGGTTCATGCATGGGGATCATAAAAATGACATTCGGGTATGTTTTTTTTATTCATTTTCTTTAAATCAAGCTATAAACTAAAGAAATCCACATTTCTAAATTTTGACATTTTTCATATCATCGTGGCGTTTTTATGTTTCTGAGTTCAAGTAAACTTTATATAATATATCAGTTAACAAAATCTCGTACTTGGATTTTGAAAAAAAAAACGTTTAACAAAATTTTTTTTATATACATTTTTAAGAAAATTTTTTCTGCTGGATATAATATTTACTAGATCGAATGTCTAAAAAGTATAAACTTTGCTTTTAAAACGAAAAAGATTTTTTCGAAATTTGGTTTTAACTGTGAGGTGTTGCATTACCGAAACTACTCAGGTTGCATTACCGAACTTTCTGGTTTTCGCTTATAAATGAATTTGAAAGGTCTATTTTGCAATCATTTTTAAGTTACTATTTTAAAATAAAACTTATTTACTCTTTTTTATCCAAAAAATAAAATCGATGCAAATAATAATTGTAAAATCGAACGGAAATTATTCAAAGTCTCAGAGGCATGTTATAGGACTTTCAGGGAAAGAAACGGACAATCAATTAAAACAGGGGAAATTTTTTATTACAGAATATAAAACTATATATTGAACGTTTATGTAAATAAATTTTAAATAAATAAATAAAGCTTTTAATACAACGTAGTTATAATTAACAAATGCACTCATTTTGAATACACAAATAACACTATTTTTGATTATTTTAAAATAAAAACTTTACAACAATCTTCTGACATCTTTCTTTAAATCAAAGTAATAAATTTTTCAAGTATTTTTAAACTAATTTTGACTTTATGAAAAAAATACATACAGCAAATTGTTGTTTTAAACAATCTTCCCAGCAAAAATTTTACAGCGGAATTTTAGTAGACTTTTATAGGCATTTTAAGAGTTTCCCGTTTTTTTTCCACTGTGAAAAGGCTCATTGGTTACATAGTGGACCACAATTGGCAGTCGCCATAATGGCTAGCCAACAACTAGCTTTTATATTACATGTTGAAGAGTTATTGGCTAGCCACTTTTAGCGAATCCCTTAAGAAACCTATGAGCAAAACTCTAATTAACTGCTCAAAATGCTTATATAGGTCCATTGCAAATCCATATTAAAATAATTGCTGGGTTAATAAAAATATAATTGGTTATTATTTTTACAGATTTTTATAAAAACACAGTTATTCATAGTTTGTTCATATATAAAAGTTTAAAAGTGTTTCATTAATTAAGTTCATAGCCTCAACCAGAGAGACTGATACTATCCTATTTAGTAAAATAGTGGGTTTTGATCACTGTTTTATTATTTTTTATAAAAAAATTGTATATACCAATTGAAAAAAAAATCATAATTTTTATCATTAAGTACATATCTTATTTAAGTTAATTGATCATAAGTTTGAGAATCATAGTTTTTTGCATAGATGCTTTAAATGCAAAGGAAAATTACCATTTTAATGTGGTCTTGTCGACGACACCCTCTAACACAAATTTTTAAAAACTTTACTTTGCAGCAACTTTATTGATTATAACTAAATTTTTAAAAATCCTGATGACATTTTGTTATTGCAAAATTTAAATAAATTAAACAGAAGAGAATGGACACTAGATTTTGTAAGGTACAAACTTATAAAGGAATAAACACACCATTACATCAAAAAAATAAGTTAACTTAATCTTTGATCAATTCGATGCAGAACTTCTTAGTCTAGCAAAAAGAAACAATTTTAACAATTTGTATGCTATAAAAAAAGTTGTTTAGGCGGTTTAGTTTCGTTGTACAGATTTTGACGACAAGGAATGTCAACACCGTATTTTCCCAAGAGAAACTGAGAATTAGTGCAAATATCATTTAGAGAAAGTTCATGGTGAAAATACTTATGTAGAGCAAGTAAATATTTTTGCTACACACGCTTCAGTCTTCAACATTTTGAAACCAACTTTTACTGATTTATCTTCAGATGATTTACTAAAACACCAACGAGACACTGAACCAGATTATTTGGAGACGCTGCCCAAAACGTATTTTTGTGAGTAGAGGGGTCACTGAGTCTGCAGTTAATTCGTCTGAGATTGAATTTTATGAAGGTCCTAATGGAATTTTATTTGTACTTAATAAACTTTAACTACCAGGATATGTAACGTCTTTGAAACTTAATGATGAAAATAAAGAAGCTATCAAACGGTCTTTTCAATTGTCCACTGAACGTGTTAAAAAGAGAGAAAAATAGCTAAAAACAATTAAAAAGGCTTAGTTAGATAAAGATGATAAAGAAAGACTTAGTTAGACAAAGGTAATAAAGAAATTGATAAAGAAAAAACTCAAAATATATTTCTGGAAGGTTTTATTATGTTTATATGAACTTTTTATTATGGTTTTATTCTTTTGTTTTATATATTTGTCGTTTCCTCAAAACTAAGTTTTGCCTCGAATACAAATCTTTAAAATATGATTAACTTTAAACTCGTTTAAGCTTTGATCTAACTTTTTTTTGCGATTTTTTACATAATTAAAAAGGATTCGGTTGATTGAAGGATTTTTTAAAAAAAAATAAGGGAAGTACTTTTTTATGAGAAAAAATGCTGGACGAATGTTCAGCAATTTTTTCTGTTTGTTTTAAATTTTGTAACCTTTTATATATTATAAATAATAAAAAATGCTTCACTTATCTGGATTAATATACCTCATTAGTATATAAACCAATTTTCAGCTTGATATGATAAATATTTTGATCACAAAAATTGCTAGTTTTTTCAAATAAACTACATATTAAAGAGCATATCTTTTAATATTAATAATGCGAAAAAACTAAATAAATTTACAAACAAATATATTATTTTTTATTAAACAAATTTAAACTAAACAAAAACTACATCACAGTGAAAATGATGCAATAAAAAAAATACAAAAGAAAATCATAAATAAATAAAATTAATAACAGGTAGGATTTCCTTTTAACTTAATTACTAATTCTAGTCTATTAGGAACTGATTCCACTAATTTGTTTGTAAATTCTGGGGTCATTTTATTCCATTCTTCCAGCAATTCATGTTTTAAATCTTTTTCATTATTTATGGTATGTTTACCAATTTTTAAGTTTGTTTATGCCATAAATTTTCGATAATATTAATATCAAGAGACTGTGGCGGAGTTTTTATCACTTTAGGACAATTGTACAATAACCACTTATGCACTATGTGTGATGTATGTTTGAATTGTTTTATAGCTTACTTCTTTAAAAGTTAAATCATATGAAAAGACAAAAGGATTTTATGATTTTTACTTGACTTAATCGACTTTAACAGATTAGTAAAAAGTCGATTAGAAGAAAATCCATAGATAGTATTTATTCAACTAATTTTGATACTCAACTTTTTTTCGATGACTTTCAACTTTTTCGACTAGTCAAGTTTTAGTCGATTTTGTCGAAGTTGATAATAACACTGTAATTTCACTGCTAATTAAAAAATTATTAACCTTTTTGCTCCAAAGTATGCCTTTTGGCGTTCTCGCTAATTCTGAAGCATGCTTTTTGGCGTTTTTAGATATACCTATACATTTAACTTCAAAACTTAAAAACTAAAGTTTGATTTGCATTTCTGACTTTCGATTTCAAATAAATGGTACACAGCAGTCCATAAAAACAACAACTTCACATGGCTTTATTATAAACTTTGCTTTTATTTTTACTTTGAAAACCAGTTACATTTTGACTTTCTGAGGTCGCCGATTGACACAATCCCAAGTTAAAAACATTATTGATAAGCTCAAAATTAGTAAGAATAATGATTCTAATGTTAAATAACTGATTTCAACAAATAACAAAAATATATATACATGAATATAT